AAAAAAAAAAAAGAAAAAAAAAGAAAACTGTTTATTGTCATCATTATATCTTCATAATATCAAAAGATCTTCGTAAGAATATAGGTTAATCAGATCGTTTCACGCTATAACTATGCAAATTTTGATCAGAAAAACGTGGCGAATCGACCCCTAAATGGTTAGGCTGTTTCACCGTAGAATTGGTGGAAAAATAAAACTCTGTTTTGCTCTAGTAAGCGCTTTTCGTTCCCATATTGAATCTGTTACCTCATTTTAATGTCGTACTAAAAGTCTAAAACAACATATGGAGAAAATCACACAATGCCGAAAATCAGCTGCACATTCTTAGAACAACAGCTCAAGACTCTACTGGACAAGCCAAATAACAGAAGCCCACAAAAACACTTGAACATATCAATCAATTAAAGAAAGACTGTATGAAAAAAAAGAATCGTGTTATTGAATTTGCTCGATAAATTAGGAACAAATACATTAAGTCGTGTTAATCGTATACTCTACCCACATTCCCCTCTTCTTCTTACATGTGTACAATACAAACAAAATACAAACAAGCCAAACTATTCTTCTTCTTCAATGGAAAGGGTTGAAGAAAAAAGAAAAACTGGCTTGAAGACATTTGTTCAAACATGTACAAAACAACACACACTAGTCAGAAATCGTCACCTATAAGATCTGATAAAGCATATCAGACTCATCCAATAAACAATCGAAACAATCTCTCTACGACTTACAACAACAAATTCTTTTTACAACAAAAGAAGAAAAAGAGCCCAAATTCAATTACCCATTTCCATCTCAAGGAATAAATTCCGCTTGGGCCAATAACCATCTTCGCCCGAAGCAAAGAGCTTGACCGAAATATCGGCCAATTTCTTGGCGGATAATTTACGCCGTGGGACCCTTGACTGCTTCGGTGCGTTCGGGGCTTCAGCCTCGTCGAAACTACCGAATTGCCACTCGTCATGAAAGCCCACCGTCTTTCTTGGCGTGCTGTAGGCAAAATGGTGCTGCTTGGCAACCAAAGTCTATTTTTTTTCAACAAAGCAGCAATTTTGAGTAAATTAGCAAAATTGGGATTCATTAAAAGCATGAATTAGATTAAGAAAAATCATTATTTTCAAGGGAAATAAGAGCTTACAGCTTCTCTAATCGCTTTCGAAACGAAAAACAGCCTTTTCAAATCATCATGCTCAACACCACAAAGTATCTTGATCTGCAAAAAGCAACATTCTTTCTTGTTAGCAAACTAAATCAAATGTAGAAATCACCAAACAGTACTAAAAAAGGGCAAGAAGAAATGTAGGCTCACCAGAATTTCTTGAGGCAAATCCTCAAGCACCGATTTCGACTCGAAAAAACCCGAATCTCGATCGAAACGCCGTCGTTTCGAAGGCGTCGTCGTGGCTGCAAAATCCCCACTCTGAAAATCTGGGCCGACGACAACATTCGAAAGGGAAACTCTTTTTCTCCCAAACGATGTGCTTCTTACAAGCCCCATTCCGTACCCTCTACTTGCCCTCGACCCACATTTCTTACCAATCGCCATATCCTTACAAATTTGGACTCAAAAAAATCTGATTTTTAGACAGAAATACCTAAATTGAATCAAGAATTTGAAGAACCCTAAACCAAATGAATTCCCAATTGGAGCTAAATTAACCCTAAATCGTAAAAATGTAACGGGTGTGCTAAAGAAGGAAACAAGAGACCCGTCGTCTTCTTAACTATCTTCCTAAATATACTAATCACGGGTGTGACTAAAATGGAATAATCCCGCCGCACAAAAT